TATAAAACTTTTTTTATCAACCAAAATTAAAACATTTTCATATGTAACAATAACAATGTTTGATTGTATATAGTATATTAGATATTAGATATCTAATTCTGTATAATCATAAGACAAAATTAGAGTGTTGCACTAGAAAACAGTAACAAAAAAATTGCTTCAACTGTACTACAATTTGGTACATTGTAAAAGATGATTCTCTAACTATAGCACACACCAAATATTCATAATTTCAAATATTTTTTATCACTTTAGTCATATGTTAATTATATGACATAATATATGTATAGTCTTAACAATATACATTTTTTTTTAAATATGCGCGCTAATTACCAGGTACTAGTTAATATTTGCAACAGAAGAGAATATTCTTTGAAATGAATATAATACAACTTTTTCTTTGAGGATAAACTGCGTACCTTTGGACAAAGTTTTTCACGAAATTTTGTAATATGCAAAGATCTATAAGTTACTGTATATATAAAGATGGTAATTATCATTGTATTCAATATGATATCACCCGTTTTTAGATCAGGGTTAAAAATACGAATTTTAATTATTTTATGTCATGTAACTCATTATTAAGCACGATAATAATTATATGCTTGTGTTTTTGATTTTTGGTAAATTATATATGGCATTTTTTAAAACTTCCACCAAAATTTGAGATATATATGCATTAAAGAAAAACACTGAAATAACTTCATTGCTTCAATGTTCTATGACACGTCTACCATTAAATTATGAATATACGCTAAAACATAAGTTTTTTTACGTAACTCTAGGATTTCATTTGTTATGTCCAAAGGTATGTGTACTTATATACATAGAATATACAAACAAAGATAATGTAAAAAGAGGATTTTAGAAGACATTTATACCTACAGTCTTTTTTAGGCTACAACATTTACACTTTTTTCTTAAATGAACAGAGACAAAGGCCTGCATTTACCTGCTGCCATTATACGATTTGAGGAGAATAAAAACAATAGCTGCTAATAAATTATAGAAATAACGAAGTCATCTCTTTTTACGTGCTGCGAGTAAATCGCTATAACTATAAAGCTTAAACTAAAAGCTAGTCACGCGTTATTAATAAGCGGAAAGTCAAAAGGCACCATGTTCCCAATATCTTAGAAATACTTGATTGCACTTTAAAACTGATTAAAACATATTTGTGCTCGCTATAATAATAAAATAATATAAAATGAACTTTTCAGATCATTAAAGGAAAGTCTTCGATATTATGTTTGTGAATGAAATAAGATTCGATATTGTAGAAATTATAATCTCAACCGAAATGGTTCATAAATTGATTTGTATAAATCCCTCCTTCTATCTTAAACAATTCGAAGCGTTTCACGCTATGAGTAGAGGAATCTGAGAGCTTTCATATATTAAAACTTTAACACTTACTCTACAAAATCTCGATCAGTAGATAAAAAAGATCGAGGCTAGTTGGAACGATTAAAATTTTTAACAATCTACAGTTGATACTTGTAAATGAATAATAACAGATCCATGGCCTAATTTGTTATATTTAAGACTAGAAAAAGTCCTTCATGGAGAGCGTTAAGACGATAGTGCGAGGCCCAAACGAGCAAATGCCATTTCCTTCCGTAATCGAGTAATTTCCCAATAAACATCGTGAACTATAACAATAATTAAATGTACCTACCAGAAATGTAAATTAGTATAATGAATATTTACCTGAGCTTTTAACAAGGCCACGTTCAATGTAACGTAAATAATTCAAAAAATCGCAGACCGCTATAATCTACAAAAATATATTTAATTTTATATTCAAATATTTAAAGATTCATAATAAATTATTTACAAAATTTAAAAACTTACTCGATTGCGACAAATTTGTGATATGCTGTACCACTGATTTTCTTGATCTCCGAATCTCATACGATAATAACATTGGCGCGGTGCTTCAAGCAATACACATTTTCTAAAGAAACAAAAAAAAAAGAAAAAAACAAAAAAGAAAAGATGTTAATTTAGTATAATCAGAAAATTTCTAATATATCGCTATGGTATTAAAACACAAGATTTACTTTGGAAAAGTGAATTTAGTTTTGTCGCTGATCGCTTCGATAAAGATGATGCCATCGAGAACGGCTTGTTTAACTTTTGAACCCAATTCTTTGTTAGGGAAATCAAGGCAAAGATCGATGTCTTCTGTAAAGATTCTACCAACAAAAGGATCACCTTTGTCTACACATGGATTAGCTTTCCATTTAAGAAACTCTGTATGTACTCTAGGATCAACTTCGAGGCCAAAATCTTTGCATTCTTTGTCTTTCTCCTTTTCTGAATCTTTTCTCCAATCTCTTTCTAGTGTCTCTCGATCCGAAGGTAAAGATGATCTTTGTTCTTTCAATGGGGAATCCGGTGGAGAACTCTCTCGACCGTATTTTAAATTGAAATGCGATGGTGATCTAGGTGCAAAAATATTTCGGATATAATTTAAATACCAACCTCCATTTATCGATATTCCTGATAACTAACAAAAGATATGATTAGAAGGCTTTTAATTGTAATGATAGTAAATGCAATTTTACCTTCGATGTTTTCTTGCAAAAAGACCTTGCTGAGTATCTTCACTGTTTGGACGACTTTTCGTATCGATCTGCGGATGTAGATGGAAGTTTGGTTTAGCCGGCGTCGAAGTTAACACTAACGTTTTTAGAGCCGCTACTTCTGCAGCCAAAACTTCAGCTTTCATACGACTTTCCTCCAATAGGCGCTCTGCTGTAGCTTGACGTACATTTGCTTCTCGTACCATGTTATGTGCCTCCTATGTATACATAAAAATTTGCTCAATTTTTTATGCCTTTATGTTACATATTAACAATATAGTTCATGAGATTTACTTGAAAGAGGCTGGCAGTGAGTTCCTCCAATTCAGCTTCAACATCCTGTTTAATTCTTGAAAGTCTTGTGACTTCTTCATCTTTCAATTTTAATTCCTCGTGTGCTCTCTTAAGTTCATCTTGTAATTTTGCTACAGCATGTTCCTTTACTTCTGCTATAGCTCTACCCCATTGTAGAGTGGTTGGTGAGGGTGGTTCTCTTTCCTGAGAGTTCTGAAAATAACACATAAGCAATATCATTACAGCAATATAAATAATTAATTGTAATATACATTGAATTACAAGAAATTACTTGAGAGTCCTTTATACATAATAATGGTTTTGAGGAGTTGTTACAATGGTTGAGTTTTGTTGAATCATTAATGGAATCTTTGTTGTTTATTATTTCGGCATCTTCTTCATTAAATGTAATAGGTAATGGCTTGATACAATGATTTTGATTTTCAAACAATTTATGTTCATTCTTGTTCAACCTTGCCAGAGTGTCACAGGATTTTGCAAGTTTTCTTTGTTCCATCGTTGGTGAATTTCAATATCGCAATTGAACATTGTGGAGCTTTCTGGTATACGTAAATACAGGAGTGATCTTGGTTGAACTGGAACTAAACAGATTATCTTGTGAAAACAGATGTTGCTTGGTTTAAAAATAAATTTCCTTAATGGCAACATTCTTTAAAAGTATAATCTCCTAAAATATTCTTGTAAGTGATGAGAAATGACCAAAATAAATATACAACTCTGTGTGTTACACAACTCTGTATGTATATATGTTGATTTCTAGATCTATAAAAAGAAATGCTGCATATGATTCTCTCCATACAAACTAAATTAAGACATTATTAGTTTTTAAATATTTATTTTAATACAATAATAAATTTATATATATAGATATTTATATATATGAAGAAAATGAAAAAATAAACAAAGTACATTAATATTCCATATTTTATCAAATTAATAAAAAGGTTGAAATAAAAAAAAACAATGAATTTCTATTAATATATTTTATAATTATCATTCTAATCGCATAAAACACATAAGACAATTCTGTTGCGGATCTTTTATAACGGATACCTTAATTAATGGCAATTTATGTATCTCGGCAATTAAAAGGATGACGAGAGAATAATTCCGTTAGGCAAATGTCCTTTTTTATTTATATAAACAAGCTTTTTCGTTGTCATACGCAATAGAGTATTGAAACATTATTTCAGCATGTCGTAACAAAGATTAGATTGAACAGCATCCAAAGATGAGAGGAAAATTCATCAACGAAAAACGGATCCGCGCGTATCGATCCAAAGACGGTGTGATTCTAATGCTTGGCAGCATTCTATAACTTACCCGTGAACCTTTCTTTACGCAACTCTCCTGCCATTAGTGGGTCTGGCGAAAATCATCAAACGATATCAGAGGGAAAAAAGCGGAACGGTATAAAGATTTTTTTCCGCAATATGTCAACTTGATGTCAACGTGTAAAAAGAAACAGCACCCATCACCCTTACGCGACCCGCAACACGGCCCGACTGAAGTCACATAGACAAGAGTATAACAGTGAACTTTCAAGCGCCACAGGTTACCCACTGCTAAATGCTCGTACTACCTCGTACCAGGTCGTACTTATGCTCCGTAGATTATGAAGTCATTGAAGTTCACGCGCGTCTTGAATTAGGCGAAGAATTACGAAAGCGAACGTCGTAGCACGCGTACGAAAATTTTCACTGAAATAAAACTACGCTACGATAGGCTACGAGATTCGCTCATTGCCGCCTTTTTAACGTAATTAGAGTTAAAGCGATTTCAATTGTGCTCAATGCCGCTGGAATTTAATCTGTTATTGTTTTCTCACGGTTTCGTTTCACGTTATTTCAATTATACAGCTGCTGCTAGCTTTGGAAATACTTTAGAAATTTGTAAATATCATAGCTGATTGTAACAAATATTTTGGATGAAAATTTTTAGGTGCGACAGTACCTTATTTTTTCAGCGATCGATGGTAATTTCGATGTCTAGTAACTTGATAATTTTGTCACGTTTCTCCATCAAAGGCACTTCATGCTCTATTCTTTACCGTTATGAGGCGTCTGCTGCAGTGTTTGATACTTTTCGTGCGTGACTATGCTTTCGGTTTGATGTTCCTCTTTGTGTTCGTGTGACGGCATAGTCGCATGAGGTCCGAATTCGAATCCACGAAGTTGAATATGAATCACTGATTACTGTGATAATTGATATTTGTAAATAATGGATATCGGAAGTGAGTGGTATTTTACTTGCTCTTTTCTATTTATTATTAATATTTATAAGAATATATTAATATTTATAAGAAGATTATAAATATGAATGTGATGTTACCGAAATTAATGTGTATAAAAAAATGTATGAAGACTAAGTTTCATTGTATAATGAGAGTTAGTAAATATGATTTCTCTAGTAAGTAACATAGTATGCTATGTATACAGAAATGTTGATTTGATAATAGGATTAATTAAAAAGAAGAAACGGGTCAAGCGTGATGGCAACCTTCAGCAATTGGCTGAAATTGTTAAAGAGCTTGGTGACGTATACTTTGAAAGTGACAAGTATGAAGATGCTTTGCAGGAATATACAGAACAACTGGAAATTTGCAATATCTTAGGAGATAAATTAAATATAGCAGTTGCTCATAGAATGATTGGAGAAATACAGGCAAGTCTTGGCAACTACGAGGAAGCATTGAGCCATCAAAATCTTTATTTGGGTTTGTATTTAAAATATTCATTGTGTTAATATTTTTAATTTTTATAACTCTATAATAAAAACATTTTTGTGTTAGGTAGAAGGGGCCAAGGAGATACAAAATTTATTAGAAGAACAACGAGCTTATGCAACATTAGGTAGAACATATTTTTGTTGGGCTGAAAGTCAGCCTGAAGAATCTGAAAGAAAACCTGATGCTCTTATAAGTGCAAGACAAGCGTACACGAAGAGTATACGTCTTTGCAATGAGTATTATATCTTATTTAATGTCAATAAATTTATATAATATAATATATATAAAATATATTATATAATATAATATAATATATAAAATATATATATGATATTAATTTTCTAAGCGGTATGTTATAAAAAGTATATTTGTATTTTATTTAGATTGGGTGATACTAACATTGACCTAAAAGAATTAATGACAATGAGGGCACGATTGTTACTGAATTTGGGATTAGTACTAGAAGCTGAAAAAAAACACCAAGAGGCTGTTGATCTACTGGTAAAAGCTGCAGGTTTATGTAAGACACACAACTTACGGGAAGATTTCTATAGAACGCAAATTGCTCTCGGAGGAATTTACGAGCGGAATCGCGATTATGATCTGGCTTTAACACATTTTGAAACTGCCATTGAAGTTGATAATTCATCTTTGAAAGCGGAAGCACGATTTCTTCAAGCAGAATTGCTTTTAAAAATAGGAAAATGGACCGAATCAAGAAAAATATTAGTGCTTCTTTACGTTACGGAAAACTTACCACAAAATCTGAAGCATCAAGTAGAAAAATGTCTCAGGATAGGTATGATTTAAGAGAATATAATTATTTTTATGGTTTTATTTGAAATATTTGTTTGAAAAATATTTTGTTTATAGTTGCAACATTACAAACAACTGAAGAAGCTTTAACTACAGAAAAAGATACCAGCATTAAGTTGAAATATTATGAGACATTAGGAGATGCGGCGGTGGCTGCACACTGTTTTGAGGAAGCTGTAGAATATTACAGAAAGATGCTCATGTGTGCTGAAGAAATACAAAGCGATCGCACAGGGGCAGCTTTATTAAGTTTAGCCCAAACATTGAAAGATGTCGGACGATATAACGAAGCATTGGACTTTGCTCGTAGAGAACTAGAACTATGCACAAATTCACGTGAAATATGTAGATCTGCTTTGTTCTTAGTAGATTTATTAATAACTATTAAGGCAAACAACAAAGAGATAGAAGAAATTTATAGTCTAGCCTTAAAAAATGCAAAAGCTTCCAATGATATTTCTTTAGAAACAAGTGTTTTAAGAGAACACTTGAATTATCTAAGAAATACTAATAGAACAGAAGAGATAGGAGCACTTTCGGAAAAGTTAGATACATTGGAAAAATTATGTAATGATACAGATAGCGAAAGCGAATCAGAAGAAAACGATATTGGCGCAAACATTTGCTTGGAAGATTTGTCGGATGTTGAAGCAGAATTAAAAGTTAGAGAAAATGTTAAAAATAGAAAACGAACGAGAAAGACGTCGGTTGCTATAAAAAGGAACGAAAAAGGAGAAACACAACTTCATGTAGCTTGTATACATGGGAATGTTGAAACTGTAGAAAAATTATTAGAATCTGGTCATTTAACGAATGTTAGAGACCATTTTGGCTGGACTCCTCTTCATGAAGCAGCTAATCATGGTCATGTTGAAATTGCAAAATTATTATTAGAATATGGTGCAGATGTAAATGATCCTGGAAGTTTGATGTGCCAAGGAGTTACTCCTCTTCATGATGCGGCTTCTTGCGGCAATTTTGCCATGATGAGATTTTTAATCGAACATGGAGCAAATGTGGAACTTAAAACGAACGATGATGATACTGCACTAGATTGTCTAGAACAATGGAGGAATCGTGTTAATGTTTTATCTTCTGAAGATCAAATGGAGTATGATGAAATGCACAAATTATTGTCTGCTATGATACCAATGAGTAATAAGAGAATTTCGAAACGATCTCATACATCATCATGCAATTCAAAAACTCACAGTATAGATGAAAATGTTGTTATAGAAAAGATCTCTGCAGGTGAAGATTATAAAAGAACTATAGCTAGCTTAAAACACAGGAATGATCCAATTGGAGCTTCTTTGTCCTCTATGAAACGAAATGTAAATCCACTTTTGAATAGTGAAGAGGTTCTTTTGGATGATTGGTTGGAAGATGATATCAATGAAAGTATAAATAATAGAAGGTGCTCTGATGAACATTCCTCCTCAATGACGAAGAGAAAATCAAGTAATGGAAATATCGATGTTGAGAAAAATTTAAAACGACAAAAAATGAATGATCAAGATCAAGTAATTGAAGATAATGAATGTGATGTAACAGAGGAGGATAGTAATGATAGTTGCAGTACTGAAATAAGACGAATTTCTACTGAACGTAAGATTCAGAAAAAAAAACAGCAAACGTTGTTATCAATTGGATTTACTAAAGATTCTACTTCTCGAAGTCCCTCACCTGTAATTCCATTTAACACAGAATGTGAATTAACAGAAATCAATACTATAAGATCAGTTATTTTAAACATCCTTGTAGATGGAAAAATGTTTAAAACTCAAATAGAATTTTCGAATACAATGAGGCCATTAGTAAAAGAAATTGTAGCTGATATTGAAACTAAATTCTACAACGATACTGGATGTAAAGTAAAACTAGATCTAAAAACTATGGATGGTATTGCGATCAATTGCAATAATGTGTTCACGATATTAAATGAAGGGGATATTGTTAAAAATTTGGCATGCGAAATAATTGAGTTAGAAACTCCTTCTATTGTCGAGCGATATGGGGCGATTTGTAAAAATTACAATATAGGTAGATATTTTATGAGTAAGTATACTTATTTCATAATTTTCAAAATAATCATTACTTTTAATATTTTTAGATGTTCGAGAATGCATATTAAAGTGTTTGAAGTCATGCGAGAACACGTTTACTTTCCGGTTAAAACAAGAAGATATTAGAAAAGAAGAATTTATATCTTTATTGAAAACTCTAGAATATCAAAAGAATGTTCAAATATTAGATTTATCCGGTGGTAACTTATATGAACTTGGAAAATCTTTAAATGATTGTATTTTAAGATTGTCAGCTTTGCAAGAATTGTGCCTTCAAGGATGTGATATAGATTGTAAGTGTTTAAGTAAATTAGAGAAACTACCTCCACAACTTAAGTTTCTTGATCTCAGCTATAATCCTCTTGGATCATCAAGTCAAGAAATCTTATTCAAACTTTTCACCCCTTTAACACAGCTACGGACATTGAATTTGCGATATTGTCAATTATGTAATTTTCGTTTTCTTTTAAACAACAATAGTCTAGTAAATTTAGATATTTCTTGGAACTGTTTCAGTGAAGATGAAGTCTGTGCCACTTTACAAAGGCAATTACTTAATTTGAATTTATCGAATACTATTTGTTCTAGGGATTTTAATTTGGTTAAAAATATTTTTAATAAAACAGATTTTTCATTTGTTAATTTAGAATGTTTAGAGCTTGCTTCATGCGAATTATCGGATATTGATATTAGAAATATATTGTCACGTGTATCGAATCTTTCGAAGTTGGTGCTTAAAGGAAATAGAAAAGTGGGAGCACAATCGCTGAATTTATTATTGAAATACACACCAACACTAAGACATATCGATGTTAGTGGATGTGAAAATATTACTGAATTTCCTGATTCTGAAGTATTTATTGAAAAACCTGAGATTTGTACATTAATCGTGAGTATGTATCCAGAAGTGTGCGACTGTTGGGTTCATTTATGGCGAGGGAAGGGTGTAGTAAAGAAACTTCCGCATAATCTTACTATTTTTAAACCGGTACTTTAATATTTTTATACATATAATACTATGTGTGCATAGAATTGAAAAGAGTTACAAATTACAGAAAGCATTCATTTACTTTAAAACATATTTCATCATTTTCTCTCATTTGCAGTAGCTTAAAAAATATATTTTTATACAAACTATCTTTTGTAAATTGTAAATTATCTAAATATGTCCATATTAGATCTCAATAGGTATTTCCTAAAATGACAAATTTGAAATACCGGAAGTGTAGTATATTTTACTGCACTTCCTGGCATCAAAGTGAATGGGAACATTTAATAAAGTCCAATTCAATGTATAACTGTTACCAAATTTTATACTTTACAGTAACCTTTCCTTCAAACTGCTGTTCAATCGAATCACAAAAGTTATAAAAAATGCATATAGTTAAATAAAGGTAATATTTAAGTAACATGCTAAAAATGTTCTATAACAGAAAATATTGTAATATACATTGTAAATATTTTTAACAGGCAATAAACGTTGTTTACCTTTGCTCCGTTTTTTAATTACGAATGCTATCAACATTGCATAATAATGTAAGTGAAAAATAATTCCAATCGTAACAATTTAAAATCGACTGAGTCATTATAGCATCAGTTTTCATATGCTGCAATCATTTCTTTCAGAAGCTGATTCAGTAAAGAATACAAAATAATTGACGTTTATTAAATATTTACAAAATGTTTGTATACTTGAGTAAAAAAATAGCAATACCAAACAATTTTCGTCTGAATTGTATAGCATGGAACCAAAGGGAAGGTTATATAGCTGTTGGCGGAGAGGATGGTCTTTTGAAAGTACTTAGAGTAGACTCCAATGTAAGTGGTTCTACCAGTGGTGGGAGGTCTAGAAACTTAACTGCTGCAAGTAATTTAAGTATGAATCAAACTCTAGAAGGTCACAATGGTCATGTGCAAGTAGTTACCTGGAACGAACAACACCAGAAACTAACTTCAAGTGATCAGAATGGTGTAATTATAGTTTGGATGTTGTACAAGGGCTCTTGGTACGATGAAATGATAAATAACTGCAATAAATCAATAGTTAAAGGGATGGCATGGAGTTTAGATGGTTTAAAAATTTGCATAGTTTATGAAGATGGAGCAGTTATTGTAGGTTCAGTTGATGGAAATAGAATCTGGGGCAAGGAATTAAAAAATACAGCTCTTGCTGCTGTACAATGGTCTCCAGATGGGAAACTATTATTGTTTGGCATTAAAAATGGGGAAGTTCATCTCTTTGATAATCAAGGCGTATTTTTAACAAAGTTAAATATGATACCACTTAATGGTGGTCAAGTTCAAACAATAGTTTCATTGCAATGGTATGATGGAAGGAATGGTTATATTGGCATAGATTGTCCAACTTTAGCTGTTTGCTACAGGAATGGTAAAATACAGCTCATGAAAGGCACTAATGACGATAATCCAGTTGTAATAGAAACTGGAATGACAGCAGCATGGTGTTGTTGGAATAGTTATGGGTCCATATTAGCTGTAACTGGGATGTTACCATTATTGGGCAATGGAGAAACAAAGGACACTAATGTCATTCAGTTTTATACTCCTTTTGGTAAACATATGAGGACCCTAAAAATACCTGGTAGAGAAGTCACCTGCTGTGCGTGGGAAGGAGGATCTCTCAGAGTAGCTCTATCTGTTGATTCTCATATCTATTTTGCAAATATTCGTTTAGATTATAAATGGACTTACTTCAGTAATACAGTTGTGTATACAAATGAAAAGATTACCAAAGATGGCATTTGCATTATATTTTGGAATACAACGAATAATACATATTGTACTAAAAATGTAAGAGCATTGATCTCCATAGCTTCACATGGAGATCATTGTGTTTTGGCAATAAAAAATGACCTTGCACAAGGATCAGAGCAATTTGCACTCTTAGTATGCAATACAATTGCTACTCCAATAGATACTAAGTTTATAGATTTAGAGCCACTATGGGTGACCATGACAAATAGCGTAATTGTTGCAGCATCCAAGAACAATTTCTTGGTTTGGAGTTATCGCACTCCTCGTAATTCCATGTTGCATGCAGGACGAATTAGAAGAGATAAAATTTACCATATTGACGAAACTCCGACCGGGGTGACGGAAGTTATTCAAGATTTAGACAAAGACAGATCTTTTGAGGCACCTATTAATACTAAAGCTACTATGGACCCGATTTGCTGTTTGTGCGCAACTGATAAGATTCTATTGATAGGCAGAGAGTCGGGAATGATTCAAAGATATTCTTTATCTCAGATAACTCTTACAAATAGATATAATACAACTTGTAAGCTTTACAAGATTGCAATCAATTGTGATTCATCTCGGGCGTCTATTATGGACACGAGTGGCGTTCTAACTATGTTAGATTTGGAGACTGATCTCAAGAAAAATACTTTGAAGGATGGAGAATCAGAGGGTGAAATAAATAAGTTCGAAAGAAAGGATGTGTGGGCCATGTGCTGGGCACAAGACAATCCCGCTCTATTAGCAATTATAGAAAAAACCAGAATGTACGTTTTAAGAGAATTCGATCCCGAAGAACCGATATCCTGTTCTGGATATATCTGCTCATTTCAAGATTTAGAAATACGTTGCGTTTTGTTGGATGATCTCATGCAGAAACCAGAAGATACAAGAAATGACTTAATAGTGGATTTAGAAGTGAAATCACTGAGGGATACCAGGGAATTATTGATGAAAGTAGGGTTGAAAGAAGCAAACAATTTCATCCAGGACAATCCACATCCACGATTATGGCGATTATTAGCAGAATCAGCTTTACAGAAACTAGATTTGGAGACTGCAGAAAATGCAATGGTTCGTTGCACAGATTACTTAGGTATACAATTTATCAAACGTTTACAGAATGTGCACAACGATCACCTGAAGAAAGCCGAGGTGGCTGCGTTTCTTGGCAACTATGACGAAGCTGAAAAATTATATTTAAATATGGACAGAAGGGATCTTGCTATTTCGTTACGTCAAAAATTAGGAGATTATTTTCGGGTGGTACAGCTAATGAAAATGGGTATTGGCGGGTCTGATAAGCAAATGGAGTACGCTTACAATAAAATTGGCGAATATTATGCTGAAAGACAGAATTGGGAAGGTGCAAAAGAATATTATGGAAAGAGCAGGAATCTGGAGAAACTTATAGAATGCTATTATAAATTAGAAGATTTTGTTCAATTAGCAGGGACAGTGCAACAGTTACCAGATAAAAGTCCCCTTTTGAAGATGGTAGCAAGAATGTTAGGTTCTGTGGGTATGTGTTCCCAAGCAGTAGCAGCATATATAAAATATGGAGATGTGAAACTGGCCGTAGATACGTGCGTTCGTTTGAATCACTGGGACCAAGCAGTCGAATTAGCAAAGACCTATAAAATGGCCCAGATAGGCGAATTATTGAACAAGTATGCCAATCATCTTCTGTCTAATGGAAAGAGACTACAGGCTATAGAATTATACAAGAAGGCAAATCACAATTTGGAAGCAGCAAAGTTGCTGTTTCAATTAGCAGAAGAGCAAGCAAAGACTAGGACGAATCCGCTACGCGTGAAGAAGATTTACGTTCTAGCAGCTCTGTTGGTCGAAGATCATATCAGTGCCGCACCAGCTGCTAAGGGTGGCCGTAGCAACGTTGTGATGGGCTTAACAGAAAACAACGAAGACACTCGGGTGATAGAGAACGCCTGGAAAGGGGCAGAGGCTTATCATTTTCTCTTATTAGCCAATAGGCAAATATATTCAGGGAATTTTGATGCAGCCATGAAAACAGCTCTGAGATTGAGAGAATACGAAGATATCTTGCAACCGGAAGATATTTACTGCTTGCTTGCTCTATCAAGCGCAGTCAATCACGCTTTTGCAGTCTGTTCCAAAGCGTTCATTAAATTAGAATCTCTAGAGATTATTTCAGAGGCGGTCAGAGAAGAATATGAGGATTTGGCTGTGGACATCTTCACCAAGCACAGTCCTCAAGATGTTCGTAATTCTAAGGCAGAATGTACAAATTGCGAGAGTCTGGTACCCGACTGGTGTGTTGCCTGTCCTAACTGTATGACCAGGTTCCCTCCTTGTATTATCTCTGGCAAACCGTTGATGGATCTGAGCAATGCGTGGATCTGCACCGTTTGCAGACACCACGTGGCTACAGAACGAGATGTCGTTAATATTAATGCTTGCCCTTTGTGCCATAGCACGGTTACATATATGTAATTGGTGTGTGTGAGTATGTATTGGACATGCATTATCAGACAAATATGTCATGCTTGAGCTATAACAGACATGCCAGCGAGCTTTAAGCTTGCCATTGAAAAAGCATGTTTCATTTTTATAGTAGTATGCACCAGTTAGAATGTGCACTGCTTAAAAGTATTAATCCGTGTTACGATTTAGATAATGTGTTGATTATCTGGTTGATTTATTGAATTAATAAGATCAATCCGTAATTTTTTGACTATTTAGAATTTATGATTTAGAAACATGTGATAATGTGATTAGTCAAATTTTCAATGTTACTTATCACCGAATAATTATATGGTTATTTTATTTTGAAAAATATTATTAGGGACACATGGATTAATAACAATTTTCGTAGTTTTAAAAATGAATAATTTCTGATCTCATTTATAAGTCTGGCATCATATTCTTGTGTAGTATTTTGTTATCTTTCTCAACTTAAATTATGAAGCTTCTCCGTTTTAAATATCTTTTTATATTCTACGCATTTAAGACAGTGTACTTATATAATTTAATTGCATAGTGATAATTTTTAATGTGAATTCCGTCCAATAACTGAAATATTAATACCGTCCATTATATATGTATAAATACATATGCTATATATTTATTAATTTTTACATTATCATAATCGCCTACATTAAACATATTTTAGACTATTTTATATGTTTTTTTAATGAATATTTCTTTAGAGCATGCTTTATTTAAAATTTAACTTATACGACAAAATTCAAAGGAATTACCGGTCTGCGCATGGCAATTGATTGGCGCGTAACTGGCCAAAAAATTTGAAGTATTCTCTTCCACTCAGATGCCTTCGAGTATCGCGCATGCGTGTATCGTTGTCGGCACGCGTTCTTTCCACGAGTTGATCAGTGCGCGTCGAACCAGTAAGGAGGAGGTATTGCATCTGTTATCGTCTCTCTTTCACGGATATTTACGGCGTTCTTTTCAAATTTTGTTTCCTCGATTACCGAAACCATCGTGGCGTTACCCATTTCGAATTGTCAAACGTGCTTGCCAAGCCCAGTCACGATTACGAAGTCACTTTCCCGCGAATGTACAGGCGTAAGTGTCGTATCCCGCGTATTTGTCGCGTCAGTTCGTGAGTGTATCGCGAGTGTCCGCCACGGGAATAATTATGAGTGGTATGCTGTCGATGTTATGTGTTATCCTGATCCTTAGCGTCACGACGACGACGGTACGCGCCGGATTGAAATGTGACGGTGTTAAACCTTACTTCGAGTCCCAAGGCTTTCCGGCCACTGACATTCCCAAGGAGGCGATTTCGTGTAAGTTTTTATTTTCATTTTTTTTACTCTGAAATCGATTGAATTTACGTTTCGAGCATATTACATTGTAACTCGTTTCGAGCTAAGAATCGTTTGGATAAATGGCGCGAATTGCAGAAAATTTGAAATTTACGACGTGGTTTGAGACTCGTAACGGTTATGTCAGATTCCTTGAACGTTATTGGTGAAAATTAACAGTGAGGTTTTGATTCAAATTTTCCACTAATTAGAACCAAGAATTTCAACTTCGAACGTGTTACGTCGTAACGTGTTCTAATCCAACAATAATTTGTAAAAATGGCGCGAATTCCGGAAAATTTGTAAATTGTGACGTAATAATAATGTAAGATTAGTACAATGTTATCGGTTGGATTAATAGTGAATTTTTATTTTACATTTTTATCAAGAATTTCATTTTGGGGCAGATTACGTCGTAACGCGTTTTAAACTAAAGAAATTTTGGGAACTTTGAAATTGTGACAGGTTAAATTTAAACATTCACAATGGTAATGTCAGACCTCTTGAATATTATGGGAGGAAATGGTTAAAGTTAAGATTCGTTTGATTATTTCGAACAGAATCGTGCATTCAGCAAGTTTTTATATTTCATTTCATACTTTTTTATCGCTTAATTAAATAGTCTCGTATATAGCGAAAAGGATAAAAAGTAGATTCTAAATGGAATTTCGATTTAGTTTGTGTTAACTTGTTGAAAAGTTTCCCAGAAGAGTGAGAAAGAAGAATATATGACGAACGGATGAAAAATAAACGCGGAGAAAATTAAAGCTCAGAATTAGAGTGGCCGGGCTCATAATTCACGGCCATTCATGATTTATCCTGCAGAATTTCGTTGAAGTGATTCGCAAAGAGGACACGTTCAACGAAATATTTATGGCCGATGAATTATGGGCTGTGTTTCCTCGCGAAGGGGCTGCACGTGGAGAAAAAACGAACGGAAGAAAAATTCCGAGAAGTTCTCACGTCTCGAAACTGGATACACAAATGTGCCTTAGCTTGCCTCGCCCGTATGTTTGCGTGATTAACTATCGAAGACTTAATGAACGAAATAAGCACTTTATATCGCAGTGCATTTGAACAACTTCCGAAACATTTACAAAGTGGAAATAAATTTTTGCAATACTGTGGCTAAAAATTTAATGAGAATAATGTTATTGTTAATAATTTACAGTGATTACGAAAGGTATTCTTTTTATCCTAATCATTTTATCGCGTTCTATACGTTTCTTTTCCGATAGCATTAATTTTTTCTAGTCGTATGAAAGTAATATTAAATTTTGTAATATTAAATTTTGATACACTTGGACCTATAATACCGATCGATCGAAAACAGCTCAAAGTCGTTTATAAAATAATGTAGCTGAAAATTTCATGTTTTATACGGATTATTCGTGTTGGTTCACACCCATATAGGGAGATACCTTGGTTTATCACTCGGCATGTACATACATCGTACGAGCACAAAGAACCTGTCTACTTTATCAGTTAGTGTAATCACAAATACGTTCAGCTTCGAAAGTATATTTACTTGCGCCGAATAGATAATAAAGGATTTTGCGTTCCGTTAGCGTGATCATACGGCTGACATTCTTTAGAAATGTTACTCTCGAAAATCATAAAATGGATATGGTCGTATCAAACTTTTAGGTTAAGTTTTTTTACTAGAAAATAAAAAACATATACAACTCATGTATAGCACAAAGGATCCATTCCTAAATTACTTTCGTTAAGGAGATTCAAACAGTGAACATCAGAAAGATAGAAAAAACGGGTATAGAAAGTATTATAGGGATAACGTTCTAAAACAATCTTCAGCCGCAATGATCGTCCATTTTAATAACGTATGAATCTAAAATTCGACGTCTTCGTCAAAGTCGGAATAAAGGCAAGATTAACAAAAAAGAAAACAGTTTCAGAACATATAGCTCGTTTCTCGCGTCACAGATTACTCAATCTGTGTGCACGAGAGCATTAGACGCGCATTCCGCTCAATCGCGCAGCCATTTCACCATCCACGAACACTTTTATTTCTGACTTGTTTTTGCATATAAACACAGTCGAGCTTATCGGTGAGATGAAAGGAGAGCCGTATGGGTTTCGCGGGGCAGATAAAGAACCGTGGAAGAGCGCCAAGTATTAACGGTATACGAAGTAGCGATACACGAAGAACGAAATGGCAGAAGAAAAATAATTCGAGGCGTTTCGCGTTTTATCGCGTCGTTCGTGTCGAATGTGCACATTAACGCGTACGCGCATGCGCGACAGGAAGTTACAAGAGTTTTGACACGATTTACTTTCTATGGAGAGTAATTACGACCGATGATTGCTGGTTTGATTTTTCTGGAACAATCGCGACCGGAAGTAATGGCGATTCGGTGGAAGACAATGGGTGCGATAGGACGCGGTATTAGGGTGCGTTTAAAAGAATAATTAACGGTTTTGTGGCGTTACTTTTCACGGTTACTTACGTTTCACAATAATAATTTATTGGGTGGGAATAATTGATTATCGTGTATTAGCTAGAATTTAAAATAGATTTATTTTGTTTGTACATATTTGATATTTCACATCGATCGATTTAAACGTTTGATAATTTATCGAATGAAAGTAGCTACGATTCAGTTGTAGTTTAGGATAGATTTAGGTATAGATAGAATATTTCTTACAAATATAATTAGTTATCATTACCAGATCATTATCGTACATGGCTTAAATATTCTCGTACGTCCCTATAGGTATATATATACGTATTTCTTTCCGCCATTTATATTTCGTACTATATTGTGTACAATCTATCTGACGATTTATTAGTTATTTTTTTTCAAGCGCCAAAATTTGTTACTCCATTATGTTTACATGTTAATTAATATTCCTTTACGTTATCCGGTCGAAGACCCTTCGCGAGGGCTGGTATCGATTCCTATCGTTAGATACTTGCTATTTGCCACAAACCTGATCGCGTTACTTCATCAAAACTCGAGACCAGCTACAAGAGGTTTCATCAGAAGCTAGAAACCGACTAAACTATGAACGTTGCTTAAACTGTAACGAGCATAATCTCTAATCAAAAGTGTTAATCGTCCGTCATTATCTTGCTTTTCGTTGAAGCCGACAAGCCGGTGGTGACATGTCCGAAACTGCGATCGGTTCGCTTCAACTGCACCACGAAAACTAATTTAAATCAATGAACACTTCCATTTAACCTGTCCCTCGATTTCATCGCGTTAACGCGATCGTAAAAACGCGTTTAACAAGTAGTTAGTAAGTGGACCGAGGATGGAAGCATCCGGGGACCATTACATCCTGGCCCTAAGTTTTTACTTTTACGATCTTCCTCTTTATCTCCTGTTCAAATTTCATTTTTTCCTCTCGTGTCGTCTACCTGCTGCAAGATTCGACGAACAGCTGTCTCAGATCTCCGCTACCTGAATTTTCAGGCTTATTATCTCGGCACGGGTACCATTTTAGCTTCTACGACGCTAGAAGCCGTCGCGATGCACGCCGACTAGCTTTTCTCTACTCGGTGCAATGTCGTATACGTTGATTCTTCGTCTTTAAAAGGTGAGTATTTTTCCGATTGTTGGATCAAACGGACGGTAAATACTTTGGTACATTTACTCTCACGTTAGTTACACTTGGCTGAATCTATATACGGGTGGCGTCATGAAAAGGATACATCGCAAATTAAATTTCGTAATTACGTAGTTGAAGGAGCTTGTCGTTCGTTGTATACTCGCGTCATTTTCCCTCTGAACGCAGGCGAATTACAAAATACCTTTGTCCATAATAATATTAATTACAATGGTTATCGGATAGAGCTTTGTAATTTGTAATTTCAATGTACAGAGATAGTGGCCAGCAGGCTATCGATTGATAAAATATTACGATGATTCAAAATTTAACCGGATAAACGAAAAAGACATAGCGTTAATCTGCTTTTTCATAATTACAAAAGAGATATGAAGATTAATGACACGACGATTCGGTGTGTTTGATTACAATGCCAGACAGGCGAAAAGAAGAAAATGTTTACTTCTTCAAAGTATGAAAGAAAACACAATCGAACGATACAAGAGACTTTAAAATTTCCTTGAACGAATTGTCAAAGAACGACGTATCTGATTTCAGTTGGAAATTTTAGACGATTGAAACCAGTCAGTACCTTGATGATCGAGATGGACTTTGATAAGAATTTTGTCATAGGTGGATTAAGGATCAGATCTGTTCACGAAACGACGAGAGAATTAATCGCATCGAGTGCCTCGAGCAACAGTAGGATTTTGGATAATACCAAAGCCGGCTCGTACTCTCGTAGAATGCTCCTTCATAGCCTGTTCAACACGCCAGAACATTTGTTAGCGTCTACGGTGATCCTAAGTCCTGACAGAGCAGCCGGAGAAGCCGGTCGAATGGGATTTCTTGCTGGTCTTACGAACCGCGTCGATTCTATCCGGTGGATCCTTTACACTGTATGTACGACGTACGTGAATAATGAAGAGGGAGCAGAAAAGGTTCCCAAGGAATATTTATATTGAAATGTTTTTTGTCCCGGTAATTCCCGTCTAATATTCTAACGCTTTTTCGCCTCTACTCAAACTTCATTCAACTTTCTCAGCAGCGATATCGTGTTCTTATAAAAAATCTATTTACATCCAGCTTGCTTATCAGGCATCTATCATATTTCGACGTACAAATGTAAATAACAGCATCGTATATCACCGTACGATACGATATTTTCCTTTTAGGTGTGAAAATATAACAGCGACGAATATTGATCCGAAATTTGCTGAAAATAAAAATGCCACGTCGCTAGCCACGAAAATACTTAATTGCTGCACTAATATCGAATATTTAATCGATCAATTAACACCGAATTAATGTCACAAAGAACAAAAATTACATTCTAATGGAAGAATCAATAATTTTGTTCTAAATTGGCAAAGCGACGATGAAATAAAAAGTAGTACGATAAACCAGATATA